TAATGTCTTCTCACTAGTACTCCGAGAATTTCCTCACGAAACTAGTCATAAATGTTTGTCATCATTCATTTCTGAATATGTGATGAAAATGAAAAAGAGGTTAGGCGTTCACGAGCAAGACCGAAAGTTCTGGTTTCTAATCCTGCGAGATGCAGGAGTCGCGGATGCGCACTGCCACTGATGAGTCCCATACCAGGAGAAAACGACCATCCAGTGTTTCCAGGTTGCTAATGGTGCTCTAACAATGATTGATTGATGATTTCAGTCAGTCAGTTAGTCAGTCAGTCAGATGCAACGTAGAACTTCGTACGTAAGTACAACAGTTCATGTTGCCACACCACATCAGCACAGAGATGTAATTGTCAATTCAAATCCAATAGTAGAAGAGGTAGTGAAGGTATTAGAAGTAATCGAAGAAGTTAGGATTAGAAGACATTATTCAAGAAGTATGATTCAGTGAGAAAAATGTAGAAAGTCAAAACTAGGGGTGTTGAAGAATCCAGAAGATTAGGATTTGAGAGAGCTCAACGAATGGATGCACTTGCGCCATTGCGAACGATTTTGAGCCATGTCATTCAGGGTATCTAACCATCGATTATTATCATCTCGCTGACCCCAACCAGGTAGTCGACAATTACCGACATGGCTAAGTCCACTCGTCAATGACTTCATGGATTTATGCCATGTTTTGGCTTGGCCACCTCCAACTTTCTTCCAACCTATTCCTACACTACAAAACATAGCTCGTCGAGGTAGTCGGTGCTTGGGCATACGCAACACATGTTCCATCCACCTCAACTGATGAAGTTTCAGCACTTCATCTATTGATCTTCCATTCTTACCTAGCACCCGCTTCCAAATAACAGCATTGCTTACTCGGGTGTCCCATGATACACGAGCAATGCTTCGAAGACACCTATGATCGAAAACCAGTAACCTACGAATATCTTCTACTCTCACTGGCCATGTTTCACAGCCATAAAGTAAGACGGAGCGAACTGCTGCGCAGTACACTCGTTCTTTAGTCAGCAAACGGACATCATGCCTACGCCATAAGTGATTGATGATTTCAACAAGAAACAATTAAAAATATTACATTATTGAATAATGAATGGTCAGTTGAGGTTGTATACAATGCATACTGATTTTAAAACATGCACAAGTCTATTCAAATATATAGCTGTATATAATCAAACATTTGTAAATTATCTCTCATCATCAACTAGACAACGATAACAATAACAATTATTTATTTTTGTTATGAGAATGTTGCTGTCTCTTTGAAATTGCAGTGATGGAAGTATAATGATAATTAGTCTTCTTTCTGATTATTGATTCCTTCGATTACGCTAATGGCAATAACACATAGTTTCATTGGTTTATTGAAACTCTTATCTATTTTATTGTTACATATCATTCTTGTTGTTATAATTATTATCATCTTATCAAGGCGTTACTTAACTATTCCATGTTAGTTTTTGGTGAATTTCAGATTTTATTTTTCTTTAAAAGTTTACTACTGATTATTTTCGTGAGCTTTTTTTTTCATAGGGAAATAAGATTTTGTTAGCTAATAAATAGTTTGTTAACAAGAGATCGTTTTTTACGATAAGTATTTAATCGTTTCATTTGTCTGCAGTAACTGTTAGAAATCAAATAGTGTACAATTGAAGTAATCATTAAAATAATGAGATAGTTGAATTTGTAGTTTTTTAGGCTTTGGGTTAGATAATAAAAAAATATGGTCTTTGTATCATTAACGAAGTACTTTGGTTAATTCAACTTATCTGACTCGAAAACGTTACTGTTTTTGATGTAACAAAATAAAGGGTTGTGTGATTCAGCCATCGATTACAGGTTCTTGTGAATATTTTGTGGACTTGTGATCTCACCCATCAATTTAATGGACTAATATCTATGAGCCAAGGATTTAATTGTGGCAAGTTTGGTCTCGGGTATAAGGGCGGATGCTACTTCCCGGTTTCCCACACCGTAAAAGGGTTCTAGTTGTCAGAAGGGGCATCGGCCTCGACGCTTCCGAAGCAACTCGGCTTCCATCATGAAACGTCATAAGTCTTCTAAGTGAAGACCTTCTAACTCCCAGAGCGGGTTTATATGGTTTAAATTACTTTTTCTTGTCAGCGTTTTTTTAGCGGGTTAGTTTTTGGCGGAATGGGGTCGCCAACCTCATGCCCAACCCTCCTTTATCCGGGCTTGGGACCGGTAGTAGCCCCAAGGGTCTACAGGCGGAGTAATTTATGCGCCTAGAGGTTAAATTATCGAGATATAGTTCTACTTCTAGACGAAGATCCAAAGCACAAAATACAACTGACATTAAGAACTTGATGAGAAACCAGTCCGTTGTAGCTGACACTAACAAAGTTAGTTGTTTAAGTAACTTATCCTGTAAACGCCACTTAATACACTAGATTTTCTTTTGTGAATTCATAGTCAACAAAATCTGGTGCTTACATGTGCCAACCGAACCACTCTGGATGGAGATGCCTTGGAGGAAGTTCAAGCCTTTACATATATGGGCAGTATAATCGGAAATCAAGGCGGATCCGATGCAGATATAAAGGCACGGATCGGCAAAGCAAGGACAGTGTTTCTACAATTGAACATATGGAACTCAAAACAACTGTCAACAAACACCAAAATCAGAATTTTCAATACAAATGTCAAGACAGTTCTACTGTATAGAGCGGAAACTTGGAGAACAACCACAGTCATTATCCAGAAGATAAAAGTATTCATTAACAGTTGTCTACGAAAAATACCAAGGATTCATTATCAGCAAAAACCTGCTGCGGGAGAGAACAATCCAGACGGCAGTGGAGGAGGAAACCAGGAAGAATCGGTGGAAGTTCATGGGACACATGGCGGAAACCACAATACAACCCCTCACTTGGAACCCTCAAGGTAAAAGGAAAAGATGAAGGCCTAGAAACACAAAACACCGAGAAATAGAGAAAGATATGAGAAGAATGAACAAAAATTGGACAGAACTGGAAAGGGAAGCCCAGGACAGAGTAGGTTGGAGAATACTGATCAGCGGCCTATGCTCCATTGGGGGTGACAGGAGTAAGTAAGTATATTTCTTAACATACCTCACAATCTATATGTTTAATCATACAACTAAACAAAGTTGATTTATGCGTGTTAAAATAAATTCTCGAAAGCAATCAATAAAAAAGAGCCAGCAAATAATTGTCTCAATACTAAACTTATAAGATCCAGTAACCAATGCACATTCAAGGGACATGAAAATTATTCAAAATAACACTACTAAATTAGTAAAATGAAATTCTCATGCCATTTACTCTCTCAATGCGACAAAATGAAACAGACTCTCGCGCATACAAATTAAAGAGCAGATGACTTAACAAGGGAAAATATTCATAAGGATTACTTACATACAATAAGGATAACATAAATCTCCAGAAAACCTTAAACATTTCAACTGCATACACTTATCAGCCTGAATTAAGAAATCAATGCCAGATGATATCCAACTACAATTCTTTACACCCAAAGAAAAAAAAAGACAGTTTAAAGAGAAACTGAAATTTCTCACCAAGTCTGTGAGATGTTAACTAGGCATTCTTTTTTCGTAGACACATAGATTTAATAGAAACGATTTGATAATGTTAATCTTTACAGACTACAATTTACATAAAACCACATCTGAAACTCTCCTCCTTTCTTAGATTATTTGATATTAATTATCCTGACAGTAGATTTATAGCTCTCTTATATATCAGGTATTTCATTGAATAGCTGCTTATTTGTTACATTTTGATATTTTACTTGATTCCTTAATTTTCATCTAAAGCTAACAGTTTAAATGAAAATAATACAGTGAAATAACCTTCATTTATGTTTGAGACTATTTTTGTTTTAGCCCTAAAGAATCATCTATTATCATAACAAAAATGAAGTCATAACAATTCGCGTTCAGTCAGTTGCAACGTAGAACTTCGTACATATGTACAGAAGTTCATGTTGCCATACCACATTAGCACACAGACGCAAATGTCAAATCAAATCACATAGTGATAAAGATAGTAGAGGTATTAATCGTAATGAAGAAGACTAGGGTTCGAAGTTATTATTCAAGAAGTGTAATTCAGTGAGATAAAGTTAGAAAGACAAAGGTAGAGAAAGTGTTGACGAATCCAGAAGATTAGGATTTGAGAGAGCACAACGAATGGATGCACGTGCGCCATTGCAAACGATTCTGAGCCATGTCGTTCAAGGTCTCTAACCATTGTTGACTTTCGTCTCGCGGACCCCAACCGGGTAGCCTACATTTACCAACATGACTCAGTCCACTTGTCAATGACTTCATGGATTTCTGCCATGTTTTGGTCTGGCCGCACCTAACTTTCTTCCAACCTACTCCTATACTGCAAAACATAGCTCGTCGAGGCAGTCGGTAGTTAGGCATACGTAACACATGTCCCAACCACCTCAACTGATGAAGTTTCAGCACTTCATCTATTGATCTGTCATCCTTACCTAGTACTCGTTTCCTAACGACAGCATTGCTTACTCGGTTGTCCCATGATATACGAGCAATGCTTCTTAAACATCTATGATCGAATACTAGTAACCTACGAATATCTTCTACTCTTAACGGCCATGTTTCATAGCCATATAGGAAAACGGAGCGAACTACTGCGCAGTACACCTGTCCTTTGGTTAGCGAACGGATATCACGCCTACGCCATAAGTGACGCAGGTTATCAAAAGCCAATCGAACTTTCTGTATCCGCACTGAGATTTCTTCAGTCACCAGGCTATCTATCAGCGCTGATTAGACTCCCCAGATAAGTGAAGTGATCAACACCCTCGACCACTTCACTCCTTATCACTAGTTCAGGTCCCAATGCAACCCAATCTTAAAGCAACATTTTGCATTTCGATAGGGTGAGAACCGCATCCCGAACATGCTCGCATTGTTGCTTATGATAGTCAGAAGACTCGCATTACAGCAAATATATATATATATATATATATATATATATTAATACAAATCAATGAGCTGTTGAACAATGTACACTGAATAGTAATAATAATAATAAATAACCAAAAATAACAAAAGAAGAAATCATTTGATACTAGACTGTATAATATAACACCATCACCACCAGTCAGTTCAGTCAGTCAGTCATATTGAAACATGATAGGCATAGTGACAGAATAAAAAAAAAAGTTTATATATCATAGTATGTATGAATAATTGACAATTCTCTTTGATGAAAAATAGGATTTAAAAAAGCCGGGGGAAAACAAACAAACAAACACAAACAGATAAACAAAAAAGAACTCAACAATATTGCATTGATCATCATCATCATCATCATCACAGAATTCAAAAAATGAAATGTTAGTAAAAAATAAATGAAAAATAATGTGTTCACATACACTGGAAAATATTATCTACAGTAGTAGGATCACTTTCAAGCTAGAGAGGAAGGAGCTTAACCAATCCCAATTTAGGGTGTGTGTGTGATGAACACAAAATACAACAACAACAAACATATAAAATATGAATAAGAGAGAAGAGAGAAGAGGAAAAAAGGGACAATAAAATAAGATCAATTATAAAAATGCTTCACGTAATTGATTACGAAAGACTAAAGGTAGAAGTGATAAACCAGCTAAAATGATTAATGTTGAAAATGAAGCTAACGAAGTAACACCTAAATCTGTAAGTTCTTGCAATACAGTTCCTGCTTTAATGAATACCAATGATAATGGAACTACACCTGTAAAAAATAAAAAAACAAAAGGGTGAGTGAGATATGATGATATGAAGAAGTTACAAACTAGAAAATAACTTAAAAGTACCGGATGCAAAAAAAAACAGGGTTATCCCAACTTGTAACTCGACAACTGACTGCTGATATTTATCCACTCAATCAGGAGAAAACCTACTAGGAGGACTATATGGTTGCCTACACTAAAGGTTCAAATTCTACAACTCAAAACTGAATGTATGAACTAATAATAAGGATTAAACCGAAGGGTTATATGCCAAGTTTACTTAAATTTCTAACCATGCGCCACTATAGCAGAAAAAGTACGCAAACAAATATCTTATATTTTAATCTAGATTCTGTTCAAAGTTCGAAGAAACTATGCACTGATTGGCCCCATACATTAGTCAGTCAGTCAGTTACAAAGTAGAACTTCGTACGTGCGTACATCAGTTCAAGTTGCCACACCACATTAGAACAGAGACGCAGTTGTCAGTCCAAATCCCATAGTGATAGAGATAGCAGAAGTATGGGCAGTAATCAAAAAGATCATGGTCCGAAGTATAATCCAGTTAAATAGTTTTGGGGCGAGAAAGATTACGGTCATGAGGAGTTTAGATAAGAATTTGGGAGAACTCAAAGAATGAATGCACCTGCACCATTGCACAAAGCTATAGAGTTCAAGGTCTCTAACTATCGGTTACTATCACATCGCAGACCCCAAGCAGGTAGTCTACACATACCAACATGGCTCATTTTAGTTGTCAGCGACTTCATGGATTTGTGCCATGTTTTAGTCTGGCTGCCCCTAGCTTTCTTCCAGCCTACTCCTACACCACAAAACATAGTTCGTCTAGGCAGTCAGTGGTCGGGCATACGTAACACATGTCCCAACCTTCTCAAATGATAAAGATTCACTTCTTCATCAACTGATTTCCCATCCTTAATTACTACCTGTTCCCTAACAATTGTATTGCTTACTCGATTTTCCCAGGATATACGAGCAATGCATCGAAGACATTTATGATCGAATACTAATAACCTACGTATATCATCTACTCTTACTGGCAATGTTTCCATAAACTGTTGTAAACTGCTTCGCAGTAAGCCCGTTCAGTTGTTGATAGACAGATATCTCATCTATACCATAAATGGCGTAACTCGACAAAAATTAGTAGAACCCTCTGTATTCGTGGCGAGATTTCGTCAGTCACGAGGCCATCAGCACTGATGAGACTCCCCAGATAAGTTAAGCGGCCGACAAGCTCAACTGCCTAACACCCTATCACTAGTTCAGGTGCCGATGCAAGCTAATCTTGAAGCAATATTTTACATCTCGGAGGGGAGAACCACATCCCGAACATGCATACATTGTTACCTAGGATGTCGTCAACATATTCCAAGGAGAGAAGTGAATCTCCTAGTAAAAGTTCAATTCCTGAAAAGTCAGACGAGGAAAGTGTTATTTCTATGTCTATGACAAAGTCGAATAAGAATGGAAAGAGTGGACAACTTTGACGAACACCACTTGAGGTAATCGATTCCGATGAAAGTCGGCAATAAACTCTGACTCGACCAGTATTGTTCGAAAGAGTTTGTGCCCCCTACTTAACGAAAATAGATTCGCCGCGTTGACATTTAAACAAGCTGACCAAGTGGAACCTCATTTAGTGAAAAACGAAACAGTGGGATTATTCTGAGATGATGCTCAAGGTATGACTCTAAAAACGGACGATAAATAAGATGTTTGGAGCATTCTTATTCGATTGGATCTAGGATTTTATCAATTACTCAAAATCCAGTTTAAAATAAATCAAGTTATTAATTAGTGCACTGTGTAATAGATACCCATGCTACAAATATATTTTCCTAAAATTCCAGGTGAACAGTATAATGTGTTAGTTAATTATAAAGAAATTCTAAGAGCCTCCTTTTCTAACTGTATTGATGATGCTGCCTGAAAATACGATGAAAGCTCCATAAACTAATCATTTAGCTCAGAGAGCACAATACCTTTAAGATACTCCTTCTGACACATGATCTCAATTGCATTGAGCTATTGACTAGTATTTTTGCAAACACAGTTGCTTTAAAATCTACTTTCGGCTTTACAAAGGATAGGAGAATGGACTTGGAGTCGTATGAATGAGCCTTAACACTGAAACTATTTAGTCCCAAGTATCGGAGCAGATTATAAGCTTCATCAAAATCAAAACGATAAGGAAAATATGTATGTACTTTGGTTTTCCCACTTTCTAGTGATACGAGTTAGGTAACTTGTTAGTGTCCTCATCAAACACCAGTATAAACGTTTTAGGGGCATTTGATAGTCACTCCAGTTTACTGATATATTATAATGTAAAATGCTTACCTACAAATGTCCCGAAGAAGAAATGAACCAATGGAATATCAATTATTGGAGAAGAAATATTCACAAGCCAATTTGGGATGAAAGGACAAATTCGCAAACAGCATATACAAAAGAACATAGTGTGTCGATAGCGTTGAATCTAAAGCACAACATAAAATAAAGGTTCCGGACGTACTGTTTGACGACATAATTCAATTTTCTCAGGGATGAAATATATCAGGACCTTGGAACCGATAAAACCGACGAGAAGATAGCACAGTGACGCTCCGATTGCTGAACACTAAATACAAATGTATCAATAGTTATTCGGTAACTTACCAAAGCTACAATAATGACAGCAACTGGGAAAGGAAACAGATACCCTAGTAACACCACACATACCACCGAACCTGGTATCATAAATGATTGAAGGCTATGCTTTAGTTAAGGATTAATTCAACAGCTTTCGTAGGAATGGACATGGTAAAAAACAACATATAAACCATTAAAAAAGTGATCAGATATCTAAGATGGATTGTGAACTGAAATAGCATCCAAGTACAGTGAGAATGAAACAGCTGGTTTAGATAACTCATCAACTGACCCTCTAAAGCACTAAGTAATGGCACATCAACATGGTTTGATAGAGAAATAATCTTCATAGTTAAGAGCACAAAGCGTGGCTTTTATATGCATTTTTTTAATCAGCGTATGATTACATGAGATATTCCCAACTACTTATTCCCGGTTACGAAGAATTCTAACCACCTAAACCTAAGAAGATTTAAAAGTCGTGGTAAAATATTCGAGGCACTAGTCTCGGCTACTGAATAAGAAACACAGAGTAAACTAAGGAACAAATACTGATTGTTAGAGTATGTACTCAACAAGATTATAAAAACCCTATTATAGTTATGTAAACGCAATAAGAACGATAAGTTCAGTCAGCTTCAACGTAGAACTTCGTATGTACGTACATCAGTTCAAGTTTCCATACCACATTAGCACATAGAGATCGAATTGTCAATTTAAATCCCATAGTAGTAGAGGCAGTAAAAGTATCAGCTCAGTTAAAAAGATTAGGGATCGAGGATATGATTCGAGAAGTATACCCCAATGAAATCAATTTGAAAATAAAAAAATGGCATTGACAATTTCAGAAAATTAGAATTTGAGAGATGAAGAATGGATGCACCTGCGCAATCTAAAGTCTCTAAACATCGGTTACTATCGTCTTTTGGATCCTAATTAGGTAGTCTACACCTACTAATATAGCTCAAGAACGAGAAATTTGTAAAACAAAGCGCTCATGAATCTGAAATTGTCCACAAAGCATGTTAAATAGGAACTTAGCATTAAACAGAAGGTAATATCTCCAGAGTCTTATAAATACATTCAGAACAAAAACGATTTTCAGAAACCAAAAACTAGGATATTTTATAAGTCAGAATTTGGAACCTTTACAATTTGAGATAAAAGACAATAAATGAGATTATGATGACTAAATATAGCTTGTAGTTGATAAGCTTATAGGTTGTCTCTATTTTCAAAAAATAAACCCTACACCAACGCTTTGAAAATAGGTCGTGCTTTTTAAAAGACATTGCCATTCAGGTCCACAGCTTTCAAAACTTGTTACACTAAACATATTAAAAGCTTTACAGTGTATGTTGATTAAAAGTGGTCAAATTTTGTATACCTTTTAATAAAAGAGTACTTCTTTGGTAATTTTTCCGTCTATAAATTCTGTTTAGCGGTTGGTTTTTAAGGAGCTGTCATTTTAGTGTCCCACATTATTTTAACATCACTTTATGTTATTAGTAATTATCAATTAGCTTTTGACGGCTTGTCCAAAGACAAGATTTGTACACGATCTACAAGATATCAGGTCCTGTGTCGACAAACCACTTCTAACATCAGAAACTAGTATCAGGATTCAGAAGCTCCACGATATATGAACACAATTTGGAGCTAATAATTCACAGAGTAAATGTTTTCTGAAGATAATTTATGCTTCTACTACGTAGTGAACAGTTGATACGAAGTAAGCGTGTGGAAGAACTGAAATATACGTCCCTGTTCATATGGATCGCGATAATTGCAAAGAATAACATCTCTTAGAAACACTGATAAGACGTAGCAAAAATGCCAAAACTGCATACAGATACGAAACCTTAAGCCCAAAACATAAAACTGAACGAAGACCCTAGTCCTAAAATTATAAATTACCTAATCATATTCGCAGCAATATTTTCGGTTTAAAATGTCACGGTCAAGCAAAAACTCGCCCAAGCACGCATGTTTAGATTTGCTCTGAGATATAAAATCTATTAGAACCGACTGGCTAGCCTTACACAGGATTTGAGCCAAAAGGATACAATATAAAAACGGTGCTTATCAGAAGTAATATTTGCCAGTAGTAATTATCCTGGTATTCCGACAGGACTAGGCCGATATTTTTCAACTCATCAACATTGTGCGGAAATTTAAAGTGTCCTCGATGTTCCCTGTCGGTTAAAATTAAACCATAATATGTATTTACTCTGGAAGTGACGGTAACCGGCGAGTGATATATACAAGTAGCGACGCAAATCCGACAAAAGAGAGACCAACGATAAGGAACGGTCTCAACCGTTCTCCACCCACAACCTTCATTCCACCCCGCCTTTGTGGAGGTCGATTTCAGGGACGAGCGAAAGAAACTGAAACAAATGACCAACGGGTTTAAAAGGTTGCCTTCATTATCTTCTTCATGATCTATAATAAACTGAATGATTTCTTCGTGCTCACTTCTTGTTTTTAGAGTAAGTTTCTAGGTATTTGGTTTTGTCTATTTTGTGGTAGTCCAGCCGCTTAAGTGCACTAATTCTAGTCATTTGGCAGTTTTTCATGAATTTTTATGACGTGGGCTTTGAGGAAGTGGGTTAGTATCAAGGCATTAGGGTTTGTGGATACCAGCAGCCATCACATTATCGGGCCGATGGTCAGTTGGTTGAAATGTGGAAAATAATGACGAGAAATTTCTAATGCTAAGTAGTAAACAACAATTTTAAAAAACTAGGCAGATAATTTAAGTTAACCAGTTGTTAGTACAGATAGAAGGAGAGAACCGAAGTTTAAGGATAAGGAAGAAAAATATAGTTCGGCAGTTAGTTAAATGAAACCGTTTGTTATTGCAGAGAAGCTGAAGTTAAAAAAAGCAGAATCTGAAAAGGTTAAGATGTATGTCCCCGGCGGTAGGGACGAGTTAGTCCTTCCAGCATTCAGAGGCGAACTTCTTGCAGATCAGCACTAGCCTCTGACATTAACTGGCAACCAGACCAAGCACAGCTGTTGGCTAAAAACAGATATGATGGCGGTCTTAAGTACAAGAAATTAGTGGATGGAGATTACACTTCAATTCGTATAGCTCTTACTCGGTTCCCTTAGCCTATCACACTGACTATGCAAGAACCAGTCAGATGAGGCGTCCAAGTACGAACCAAATACGAGTAAACAACAGCTAAGCAGACTCCAATAGATAACGCGAGAACTAAGGACTTTAATTCTTTGTAACACGATACAGTTTATTGCTATCCGTCTCTATCACACAGTCACAATATGTGTATAAAACCACAAACAGAAGCCCAGGCTATCTGGTTTGCATGTAACCTTGAACAAGTAGAGACAATTTATTCCGACAGGGTGTGAAAAAAAATAAAGCATCGACTAAAACATTAATCAAAACATACCACGAACGCAAGACAGTCTAACATCGAAAAAGGAGGGACGGTGTTGTATCTGAGCAGTATTGATGGCACTGGGGCGAGATCCTCAATCTGCCCGAGTCAACCATATCTACGACTCATGTTTGTAATCATGAACTAGTTTCACTTCCCAACAAGAAATCCTATTTTGAGTAGAACTGGGGAGTTATGTTGAAAAAAAGCTCACTCGTGACTTCATGAGCTGCGGCGATAAAAAGCAATAAATTAAACATTACAAAAGCATCAAATCATTGAGCCTCCTTTATTGGATTCTGTAAGTCACAGTTATTACTCAGAATTTAGTTCTTTTGAGTCTACTCTGTTCCCAAGATTATTTTCCCACTCGTTAACTTGATGGTGGATTGCCTTTAGTAACCTGCATAAGTGCAGGTTTGTACTCATTGTACTATTACAGAAAAAGAAAGTTCTGAGTAACCACACATTTGTTTTATCCAGAAAGAATTATCTGTTGATTCATGACTCAGCCATAATCTTGAAAATATTCTGCTCGTCGCCTCCATCTCAATCTTCCTACTTTCCAACACCTCATTCTACGCCTTAAATATGAGCCTTCATAATTTCTCTTTCAATATTTATCTAGCTGAACAACGTTTTACAGTAAATGTGTTAGCAATCTTTACATCTTGCCTGTAAATTGGCATTCCCCATACAACACGTTATTTACGTATAAGTTGTTACTACTATTGCCTGAATTTTATGCCAAACTTGAACAGTTTGTCAGCTTTCAGGATACATGTGGTACCCGACCGCTATGTCCAGGATGACGCCCTCAATTTAGCTTAAAAATTAGATCGCCTTCATAATAATAATATTAAAATATATTTACTCAAAAACAACAGCACGTTACAAGAGGCACGCCAGTTTACAGGCTTGAGTAAATTGTTACAAATGCTGATTTATTCTCTGTAAAAGTAAGCGAAAATAGATTGGAAGTGAGAGTCCGTTTCTGATAGCACATTTACACCATGTTACTGACAGCAATAGTTTGACACTGCCACACTTTCAGTAAGTGAGAAGAAATTGGGAAGGTACACTGTAGAGTATATGGGTGGTGTGCATGATTCAGGAGTGAAGTTTTTGAGAAATGTCAAGTGTAAGCCGCTTGATATAAGATTTGACCTAGACAAATGCGTACAGAAGGTGTATTTTGTGTGGAGGCAAAATAGATGTTTCACTACAAATAGGAAATATCTGTTGTAAGAATTAAGGAATGTTGTGTAAACTGCACCTTTTTGGCACTTTAAACGTGGTAATAATAATAATAATTATCCCCAAGTGACACAATCTCAATAAGTGATCACAACTAGGTTAGGCACACATGAGAGTTTTTGGGTAGCGTGCATAATTCAGGACTGTGCTTTGTGAAAAGTGTCGACTGAAAGTCGCTGATATAAGTTGTAACCTTGACTAGCACGTACACAGAAGCACCATGGTCGTTTCACTTATGATCGGGTTCCGAAAAGGGACAAAAGATAAGAAGAAGAAACGAGCTACGAGGCGAACGGATATTTACCTAGAGCATTGCCTAACCGTTCGTGATGGGGCAGAAAAAGCAATGGTTAGGTTAGTAGATTTCATTCCAAAAGACCACTTTAATTAAAATAAATTGTAGTAGTGTAGCCTTCGAATTAAAGAGTACAGCAGCAAAGAATAATGGGTTGTTGTAAGATTCAAGCTGGATGGAGGAGAAGCTGAAGTAAGAAACATGATGTTCGTATAGTGAAGTCAAAAGTTCAGCAATGAGAGTAAATTTTGTCAAAAAAATGGAGATTATATTGCTTGCTAACCATTTCTTTTCCATCAAGTGACAGCTTCCAAGTCATACAGTAAGTGCTTGGGTAAACTCGTTTCAGCCATTCATGGCAGAATAGCTATCCCAGCATATTATTAAAAACATTAATCTGAGAAGTAGAGAGCGTATAACAGCAAACTCATTAGCTCTGATTAGTGGTCTCACCAAACAAAATGAAAGGATAAGTTTTCCAGAACTCCTTATAAATTGAAATCAAGCGTCCTGTCTAAGGATCAGCTGTGGAAGTTTGATACTCTGGCAAAGTGCAATTCATTACATTATTCAAGATTTTTCCTAAGGACAGTTGACGGTCCTGATGGTTTTTTAGATCCCTATGAAAGGGGAGTCATCATGAGTGTTGTCTTCTACCAGGTTTTCCGCTACTCTTAGTTTGGAGTCATTTTAGTCAAGTCACTTAATGCTGCAGTTGATATCTAGTTTTCCAGTCTAATATAGAGACTGCTTGGCCAAGACACAACGTTTTACAGTAAATATGTTGGCATTTCAAACATTTTGATCTTGCCTGTAAACTGGAGTGCCTCATGTAACACATTTTTACTTCAGAAAAAATTATTGTTATTATTAGCTTGGGCTTCAAAGTGTCTTCAGCTCCAAATTCGAACCCGCATCATCAGGCTAACTGCAATTCACTTATCGTCTCCAGTAGGCATTCCAGGACGAAAAGTTGTTTTAAGAAAAGTACTCCTGAGAGATACGCGTTTACTGGGTGAATCTAACAGTAAACACACATTTTATTTTCAGTATCTCAATGTTGTATAGGAAACGGAGCGATCATTCGGCTTTGGCTGTATTTATCCGTCTCCAGTTTGTAATTCGAGGTTCTTCTTTATTTTTGAAATTTGGTGTCTGAGTAAACAGCCGACGGCCAAGCAGAGCACGAGAAAACCGAGTCTAACTAATGTAATGTTCGATAACTTGTTCGCGTAACCTGTAGGATTTAATTTGTCCTACAGATGTAATTCTAAAACGTAAACGCAAATACCGCCGATGACAGAGTCCCAAGTGAAACTATAGTTAACAGAAGACAATTCGGTTTAAAACTTTATCTGTTTCTAAACAAAAAGAAAACGATTAATTTAGTACAATAAATAAGGAAATTACAATTATCAAGCAGGATGAGCAAACGTACCGGACAGTATAGCGTGTCTTTAGAAAATGAATAAAAAACATGAGTCACATCTATATAAAATAAAATAATAACATCCTTCAATCGATAGGCCGTTCACAACAAGAAAGTCCATAGACCGGTCCGACTAGATGACGTGGTGAGCGCTTAACCAATCTGATTGGTTAGTTATGACATAACTACAATTAGTTATAAAATAACTAACACTGCCCCCGAAGCGGTCACCACGTCCAGACCTCGTTGCCGTCGCGCTCGAATAATCGACCTCTTCCATTAGGCATGGGTTTCGTATATCTCGGTTGATATCTACGGTGTCTCTTCAATCGAATCGTTCTGAATCGGCCATCGGGACCATAATTGACTTCTCTAACTATAGCTTCCACCCAAAGATTTCTCAGCAAACTAGTATTGTTTACTAACGGTGAGTCTCCATGTTGTGGCTTCCTTCTCGTTGACTTTATAATATGTTTCCATATACCTCCTCCGGGATCAAAGATTAATGCTATAAACGACAAAATATTCCTTCTGGTCAGGTTTCCAGGAAACACGTGAACTCTGACAAATGACACATCCGCTCGGATATTCCGCTCTACTCCCAGCGTTCGTTTACACATCTCGTTAGGTCCGCATAGGGTAATGGTTCCCTCTTTTAGTTCATCACTTTTCTGGCAAAATGAATTCGATGATACCGGTGAGGATGCTACTGTAGCTTCCGCTGCATAATTTTCGGTTCTTATAGAATTATGTTTTGAATTAAGACCACGTCTGTTCTGATGGTTTGACCTGATGGTGAATGTTTGACTCAAAACAGATACAGAACTGTCGAATCTATATGGACATGTGTCGTTCTCTTCGATAGCTTTTCTTTTCAATTCACGACGTCTTCGACAGGCTTCGTGAAACTGGAAAACACTCTTATCACAAACCATCCCATCCTGTTCGATGATTTCATCAAATAATTTTGGAAGAAGAGTCTTCTTGTCTTCTAAGACAGAGAAACCACTTGTACTTACATGAGTAGGACGTGACCGATAGCGATGTGTTTCAGGATCCGAAGTGCGGTCTATTGACTTGCTTTTTGACACATTTGTCCTTATTCTTTTAGCTTGAGATGTTCCTGATGCAGAATC